CACAACAAATGAAACCATAAACAAAACAGAAAGACAAGCTATGGAATGGGAGAAAATCCTTGCAAATGAAGCGACCCACAGGGATTAATCTCCTAAACATACAAATAGCTCATGCAGCTCAATATCAAAACAACAAACAACCCGATCAAAAAATGGGTGGAAGGACTAAATAGACATTTCTCCAAAGAAGACATACAGGTGGCCAACAGGCACATGAAAAGATGCTCAACATTGCTAATTATTAGCAAAATACAAATCAAAACTACAGTGAGGTATCACCTCACACCGGTCAGAATGGCCATCATCAAGAAGTCTACAAGCAATAAATGCTGGAGAGGGTGTGGAGAAAAGGGAACCCTCTTGCACTGTTGGTGGGAATGTAAACTGGTACAGCCACTATGGAGAAGAGTATGGAGGTTCCTTAAAAAACTAAAAATAGGGGCTTCCCTGGTGGCGCAGTGGTTGAGAGTCCGCCTGCCGATGCAGGGGACGCAGGTTCGTGCCCCGGTCCGGGAAGATCCCACATGTGGGGGAGCGGCTGGTACCGTGAGCCGTGGCCGCTGAGCCTGCACGTCCGGAGCCTGTGCTCCGCAGCGGGAGAGGCCACAGCAGTGAGAGGCCCACATACCGGGAAAAAAAAAAAAAAAAAAGAAAACCAAAAATAGAGCTACCATTTGATCCAGCAATTGCACTGCTGGGCATATATCTGGAGAAGACAATAATTCAAAAAGATACATACACCCCAGTGTTCATTGCAGCACTACTTACAATAGCCAAAACATGGAAGCAACCTAAATGTCCACTGACAGATGAATGGATAAAGAAGATGTGGTACATATATACAATGGAATATTACTCAGCCATAAAAAAGAATGAAATAATGCCATTTGTGGCAACATGGTTAGACCTAGAGATTACTGTACTAAAGTGAAGTAAATCAGACAGAGAAAGGCAAATGTCATATGATATCACTTACATGTGGAATCTAAAAAAAAATGATACAAATGAACTTGTTTACAAAACAGAAACAGACTCACAGACTTAGAAAACAAACTTATGGTTACCAAAGGGGAAAGTGGGGGGAGGGATAAACTAGGAGGTTGGGATTAACATACATACCCTACTATATATAAAATAATCAACAAGCACCTACTATATAGCACAGGGAACTCTACTCAATACTCTGCAATAACCTATACGGGAAAAGAATCTGAAAAAGAATAGATACGTGAATATGTGTAACTAAATCACTTTGCTGTACACCCGAAACACAACATTGTAAATCAACTATACTCCAATACAAAATAAAAAATTTAAAAAAAATTAAAATAAGCTCATTGTAATTTATCCAAGACCTGGTAGAATAGTGTGAGGAAGGCTTTTTAGAGTACCTAGGTCATACTGCTAGAAGCAGAAGCCAAGAGTAATCTTTTAAAAATGTAAGATGGTTTCCATCTCTCTCCTATTAAGGCCCTCAAATGGCTTTCTCTAACACTTAAAAAATGTACCATCCATTCTGGCCTACCAAACCGGAAGCTGGTTCCTGGCACAGCTCACATCCCCTCCCTGCCACCTTGCTGTTCCTCACGAGTACTGACCTTATTCCTGCCTTAGAGCCATTACACTAGAGGCTCCCCCTGGCTGGCTTGTTCTTATCATTCAGGTCTCACTTTATTTTATTTTTTTTTATTTTTTATTTTTTTAAAATATTTTTCTAATTTTAATTATGCTTTACTATTTGACTTACATGCTGTTTATGATTGTATTAATTTTAAATTATTCTTATTTTTTTAAACCCCACATTTGTTTATTTATTTATTTATTTGGCTGTGTTGGGTCTTCGTTTCTGTGCAAGGGCTTTCTCTAGTTGTGGCAAGCGGGGGCCACTCTTCATCGCCGTGCGCGGGCCTCTCACTATCGCGGCCTCTCTTGTTGCGGAGCACAGGCTTCAGACGCGCAGGCTCAGTAGTTGTGGCTCATGGGCCCAGTTGCTCCGCGGCATGTGGGATCTTCCCAGACCAGGGCTCGAACCCGTGTCCCCTGCATTAGCAGGCAGACTCTCAACGACTGCGCCACCAGGGAAGCCCCAGGTCTCACTTTAAATGCCACCTTTTCAGAGCAGTCTTCCTTGATTCACCTCCCAACTTCTGCATCTCATCACCATGTTTTAATTCCCTCTAGGGTACCTATCATCATTAACTGACATTTTCCCGTTTATTATCTCTTTTCCTATTAGAACATGAGACCTACAAGAGCAGGGACCTTGTTTGTCTGGTTTACCACTATCCTCCCAGGGTTCAGAACAGTTCCTGGCACACAGCAGCGACTCAGTGCATATCTGGTGAATGACTAGAGCTGAGTATTGGCGACGTCATCTCTTTAGACAAGACCCAGGCTCTCCAGTGCTCCACAGCGCCCACTACTTCCTATTATCTCCCCACCCCAACTTGATTTGCTCTGCTAATTTACTTATCTCCTTGGCTCCGGAAGGTATTGAGTTTTCAGTCCTTACCCATAAATGTTACTCTAATTATCTTCAACATTTTGAGAGCAGAGGCTGTGTTTTACGTTTCTTTTCTTCTTCAATGTCTTGCCTATAGTAGGAGGGAAAGAATTAAAATTCTTTGAATATCTCCTACAAGTCAAGCACCAGCACAACACTATACCTTAATTTATAGCCTCACAACAACACTATGGGGCCCAGGCATTACTATTTGTGTTCATTTAATAGGTGAGGTTAGAGTTGTTTAGGGTCATACAGTAAATGAAGGATCTGGCATTGGGACCTACCCAGACAACACATACTCAATATGAACTGCTGTGAAAGGGCTGCTCATGTCTGAGGAACAGGTGGCTGTTTTCAATATGCAAAAGTCGAGATGGAGCAACTAATTGGATGTTTCAGAATATTTCATGTCAGGTTTTACTTAACAGTCTAGCTATTCATTTATCACTTTCATTCCACTGAGTCTATAAAGATTTAGCTTGAGGTGTATCTATACTTGGTGAGAAGAGGCTTTGAAGATGTTAATTGTGCTTTCCACATGATGAGGGTCCTGCACATCCAATAAGTGTCTGCTGTTGACAAATATTATGGAATCTGACAGGAAGGAGATTTTCTGAAGATAGTTATTTCAGTCAAATCATCACCTGTCACTGGATCACTGGACAAAGACAGATGCCAAATGTACCAAATGTGTGCCACAACACCAAACAATCTTTTAAATAACAAAATCTTATTTTTATTTTTTACAGAAATTCAGATATTCCAACAAATTTCTTTATATCCTGGACCTTAAAAAAATTACACACAACTTTTGGACGCAATACAACAGAACAGAATGAGAAAGGGAGTCACTTTTTTTAAAAAAGATAAAAACATACTTCGTATACTTAACATTTAGTGATTTACATGTGTATTACCTATGTACAAATGGTACACTGTCAGTGACCCATCTTCAGAGCACTATGGTATGCTAAATTACACTTAGGTTGTATGGAAAAAATTTCTTAAAAACATTTGTATGTGGGTAGGAAGCACTTTTTCATTTTCATAAACACCACTATTAGTGTTGTAGGACTCCCAGTGGGATCTGTAATTTACATTGATTAGAGAAAGCCAATACCTTCTATTTTCATTATAGATAAAATAGAGAGGTACCTCCCTTTAAATCAAAAAATGAATTCTTGAAAAGTTGTGTGTAATTGAATTTAGTAAGCAGGGTGTTTTGAATGCAGTGGGAGAGTTAATATTTAAAGCAACAAATAACTCCCAGAACGGCTAATACTTTAGAGATAGTAAGTATTCCCCTAATTTGGTTCTTTAGAAAATCCATATCTTTGTGAATTGAGTTTCACATATTTGACTGTATCTGTAATATACTTTTTAGCCATTTGAAACATAATCTCATTTACGGTGAAAAGATGTAGTACCAGAAACATTTGGCAAAACTAGGAGTGTGGTCCTAATAGAGACAGGGTAAGAGAAAACAACCATGATCTGTATCTTGCTTGATTCTTCTTGTACTATCCTGTCTGCTCTTCCAGTGATATATGCTAATTGGATCTTAATTTCGAGTCTAAAAATGAAGGCATTCTACATGTTCATGTTTTCTGCTCAGGTATAGCACATGGTTTGGCTTACACTGATTACCCCACACATACATTTTAGCTTGTTTTCATTCTCAAGCAATTGGCTACTTCAATATTAAATATTTTTCTGTTGTTGCATATTGGCAGGATATGTGGTGAGGGTGGTGGTGGGGGAAGCCTGGGAGCAAAAGACAGCTGAAGACAACTGATCATTTGTCACTACTTCTAAATGCCAACCAACTGAAAAACAATTGAGTCTTCTTGAAACCAACATTAGTAAACAAAAAGGCAACTTACTCCTATCAAGTTTCCTATCAAGTTTCTTCTGTATAAGTTTATATTCATTTATTTCTAAGGCTATTAAATTATTATTTATTTTGTTAGTACCACTCACTGTCATTTAGAAATGGGTTTAATGGAATGGTGTTTTTTTAAAATAAAAATGAGTGCCTGTCAGTAAGGGAAAGAACAGATATGGATTTCTGATGTTATGTACGGCAAAGAAATAGGAAAAAAGAAGGTATTTTAGATGCTATTTATAAAGTATACTAAATTCCTATGCATATATTAGGGAGAAATAGAAAAAGTGTTTATTTGATAGCAGCCTATATATTATATGTGAGCATCCAAGGTGAAAATGAGCTTTCTATATTTTTCAGAGTTCCTTGATGCTGTTTCCTGAAAGATAGGGAAATCTATGTTGCTCGGGAAACTATGATGTAAAGATGTACTTCCTGTAATATACAGCTTGATGGAGTAATAGTATATGTCAGAAACACTTTCTCAGTAATAACACGTACAGACAGATTAAACTGAACACAGAATTGGTAAAAAGTTTGAAGCGTTACATCTCTTAACCGAGTGGTTTTAACTAATTACACAGTGACATAAATGAACGGCAGACATGGGAACCAAAGGTCATGGCTCCTATGAAAACATTCACAGGCATTTTCCAAGATGCTTCCTCCATAACTGATGCTTGATCAGCTTCTTGGCTATTGAAATAGGAATAATTTAGGAGGGACTGCCTTTTTTAAAATAATCTTTAAAGATTAAAGCTTTCTGTTTTCTGTTTGATTAAAAAAGGACAGTTAACAAACTTCAGTACATATATATTTTACATGTTAATTCTAGCACATTTATATTCCTTTTCCTTAAAATATTTCCTGAATGTGATTTCTCATGAATATTATCTGCTCTTATTCAATGACAGTTTCCAATGAGCTGGTGTTTAATCCGTGATCATATCTCCTTCCAGAAAATCACTCCCATCTCTGCCGATCTAGATTTAGAAGGTGCTTTGACAGTGGACGCTTCACTCTCGCCCATATCCATCTCGGTACTCTGATCTCTCCCAAGCGTCTTCCTTCTCGATGTTGATGTACAAAAGCTGTTATTCAATTTGTTTAGCTGTTATTTGATTTGTTTTGTGCTCATTCTAGAGAATATTGGCTTAGCAGAACTGCAGAAGGGGGTACGGGGTGGGGAAGAGAAAGAGAAAAGAGAGAAAGAAGAAATGCATCATTTTCTGTCCTCAAGATTTTTGTGCATATTTGTCACGGAAAAACCACAGCAACAAATGGCTCAAATGCACTTTAGATTTGTTATCAAAAAAGACTTGAAAAGTTTGAGGTTTCTGGTCCATTAAACAAACAGCCCAGTCTTCCTGGTGAGGGGATCCCCTGATAACCCAGACATGCATATTCCCTATGTGTGGGTGAAGATTACAGGCTGCTTTGAAAGAGCAAGGAAGAACGCAAAATGATCCCAAGCATCACTGATCTTTCTGCCTGGCATAGAAAATGTCTCCTTGAGTATTTTCCTTTTTCTTCCAAGTTTTACTTTATTATCCAATCAACATTATAACAGCTACAAAAGGAATGATTATAAAGATGAATCATCCATGATCCAATCACCCTGAGACACGAATGGTTTTCTTCCCATGTCTCTTTCTATTTCTTATCTAAAATGTGCACTTATTTGGTACAGTAGGACTCACAGTATAGATGACATTTTTAACATTATATTAAAAACATATTTCCTGCGTTTCCACTCTGCATCACCAGCATCAGTTTCTCATGACTGCATAATGTTCCATTCCATTCTCATTCCTCTCCAGTCCATGCTCAACATTACATTCTCAATGATTTCACAAATGTCACATATGTAGGTAGGTTTCTGTTTCTTTTGTTATTATCAATAATGAATATCTTTGCATATAAAACTATTTGTTCTCTTAAATTCTTTCTTTAGGACAAATGCTCAGGGGATGGCTGCTTTTTCTTTTCTCCAACATATTAGGGACTGTGCCTGTATTGATAGAGACCACAAACAGTATGATCGACTCCATTCTTTGTATGATTTTCATAGACTTTGGCACTGTTGACCAGGGCTTAAGGGCACGTTATATATTGTGAAGATGGGTCAGTGCACCTAGTTGGCCAGATTGGGGCTGAAAGAAAACAGCCTGTTGGGTTTTGCATCACAGAGCACTTAGAAACATATTATAATGAAACAATTGGCCCATTATTCAGTTTTAGTCCTCGTTTCACATCTCAAGATTATGCTTTTTGAATAAGTGCTTAGGGAAACCTCAAAGATTCTGTCGTTGTTTCTAGAATTTAGCCCCTTGTTGTTTTCCAACATGCTTTAAAAAATTTTAATGCATTTTATGATTTTTAACGAACTTCTCTGAGAGAAGTTGCTTTAATGTACCCGGACTACCCAGGGGATAATTGAAATGTGATCATGCCATAATGATGATTAGTCTGTAATGATTCTTTGCGCTTGAATCATGCTGGCAGAGTGATTTCTTCAGATAAGCAACATAAGCAAAAGCCATCCATGGACTTTACACAGTGCTACAGGCACTTCTGAACTTCGTGTGGTCGTTGTTGCTGTGTCATGGAGGTGCTCTTGCTTGATGGTATCCAAAGTTGGGCTTGTGGGTCCGTGATTCCACTACTCCAGCGTAATTCACTCACTCTGCATAATTTTCTATTTAAAATCGACAAAGCTGCATGCCTGGGTTTTCGAGTAAGATTTGTGAAAGGTGCCAGTGGGGGAGGGGAGGAGGAGTGGGGCTGTAAGTGTAGGAAGGAGAACAGGGAAATGAGCGATGAAAAGTGGCCGTGTGTGTGGAAGAGAAGCTAGTCCCGGGAAGTGTACTTCTCAGGACTATACGTGTGTGATGTAGGGCAAGAGGGATGTGAGAGGGAGTCCCCATTGTCTTAGGTTTGCAAATGAATACCCTGATTTCAATGACAGAAAAGCCTGACGTGGTGTGAACCATTTGTTGGCATCTCGGAAACAGACTCCTGCTTTCTGTTTCCCCAGCTCTAAGCTGCCTGATTTGGCTTTATAACATCCCACTGGGCTGAAAAGAGAGCAAACAGGGGTGGAAGGGCTTTAGATCAGGGCTTAAGTTCTGACACCCAAGCCTGGGGAGAAGGGTACCTACAGGGTAGGCACCTCCCTGGGAAGATCCTGAGCCTTCTTGTAGGAAGGGAACCTCTGTGGCCAGTCTCACAGGGTTTCCTGTTTATGGCCCACCATCTGGGCCCATGGCGGAGGGGCAGACCAGGACAAGTCGTTCATCACCAACCCTTCCTGGATCTGCTTTGGCCTTGGGTCACGGGTAGCCTCCGTGTAGCCAAATGCCTCACTGGATCCTCACTGGATCCCTCACTGTAATCTCACCGTCGATTACTCGGCCCTTCCTTCTTTTTTTTTTTTTGCAGTATGCTGGCCTCTCACCGCTGCGGCCTCTCCCGTTGCAGAGCACAGGCTCCGGACGCGCAGGCCCAGCGGCCATGGCCCACGGGCCCAGCCGCTCCGCGGCACGTGGGATCCTCCTGGACCAGGGCACGAACCCACGTCCCCTGCATCGGCAGGCGGACTCCCAACCACTGCGCCACCAGGGAAGCCCCCTTCCTTCTTAAAGTTCTCTTCTTTGTTGACCACTGTCCACATTGGAACTATACTCCACACCCTCAGTACTAACCTTGGGTGGGGAGGGGAGGAGTGAATGGGAAAAGAGAGAGTGAAGCCTGCAAGCCAGGCCTGGATTAGGGGAGGCAAGTGGGGCTCCTCGGGTACGAGATTTAAGGAGGCGCTCACTCTCAGGGTCGTGCAAATGCAGGGCGAGGGCCTCCTTAAATTTTGCATGCCAGGATCCTCATTTGCCTCACCCTAGTCCCAGTTCTGCTGTGAGCACAGGCTGCACTGTCAGGAGGCCTCCTGGGAAAGCTGGCTGGGCTGGGGTTACTCAGACACGGCTCCCTAGTGCGCGACGCCACCATGCAACAGGACCCCTGGGGCATGTGAGAATTCTGCAGCCTGTGCTAGGCTAAAAGAACCAGCATCTGTGTTCCAGGGTTGATCAGAAGACCAACACTCCTTATACAATACCAGGAGAACACTTTGCCAAAGGAGTGCAATTAGAATTCTATAGCAATCACTTAAATGGCCCGCACAAAGAATTTTCCACCTGAAAGCTTGGCAGGGGCTAGCCCTTCAAACAGACGTGTGAAGCCAGCAGGTGGAATAGGATAAAGGGCAGGGTTTCCCTCTCCAGATGTTACTGTCACTCCTTCTGCCTAATAATTCTGAGACACCAGGGCCGTCTGCAGAATTTGGTGGCAGCATTAGCATGGTTACACTGTGATCTTCGCTATGTAAAACATTCTGCTTTTTTCAAAACTTTTGCTAACATTTCCCAAGCACCGTGGATGTTGCAAAGCTCAGGGGAGGCGATTTAAAAGCTGTCATCTTCTCCCAGGTTTGTACAGAGCAGGGCTGAATAAATAAGTCATTCAATGCTGCTGTGGATCTTTGTTCAGCCGGGTTTGTCCTTGTAACACGTCATGGGCTCCGAGTCGCCCATGTTCCATTTCCAAAGGGCTCTTTGCAAACCCTTTACGAAGCTGTCATTTGAATCGCTGTTCATGACAGCAGCATTTATAACGGCCACATTGTCCAGGCTGTCTAAATGCTGTGGTGTTGCTGAATTTTCTGTGTTTGCCGGCTTTGAAAGGTCTCCTGTGATCTGCTTCTGCGTATTGTTCCTATCCGACCTATTCAGTTAGGGCTTGGAGCTCCCACTGTCAGGATAGCTGAGGGGCAGGCACTGTCTAAGTGAGAAAAATGCTTCGTGGGGGTGGTCAGGCTTTTAGCAGAATAGCTTGCTGAATCTTTGTTGTGAAAATGAGTAAGGGCGGAATTCCAGGCCATTTTTTTCTCATCGGCTATACAAGCTTAGTCATCTTCTCTCACTCTATTGTTTCAAACTGTGCCCACCTCCGATGATAGTGCCTTCTGACACCCTTCATCTCTGGGAGGTTGAATACACTCCCCTGGAAATAACATCTCACCAGCTACACCCTCAGGTGGTGTAGACAGGATCTGCCCTACAGTGGGTGTGGCAGGGCAGAGCTGGCTGCAGATTCTCTGCCTTTCCTCTCCTTGAGAGATGGGGTCTATGTTCCCCTCCCCTTCAATCTGGGCTTTAAGAGTACTGGTGGTTTATTTTTTAACATGGTAAAAGAAAAACACATAAATTACAATTTACCATCTCAACCATTTTGAAGTGTACAGTCCAGTGGTGTTCAGTATATTCACACTGTTGTGAAACAGGTCTCCAGGACTTCCCATCTTGCAAATCTGAAATTCCATACCCATTACACAACATCCCCCTTTCTCTTAGTAAAATACCCCCATCCCTTAGTAACCACCGCTCTGCTTTCTGTTTCTATGAATTTGATGCCTTTAGATAGCTCCTTTAAGTGGAATCATGCAGTATTTGTCTTTTTGCAACTGGTATATTTTACTTAGCATAATGTCCTCAAGGTTCATCCATGTTGTAGCCTGTGACAGGATTTCCTTCCTTTTTAAGGTGGAATAATATTCCATTATATGTATGTACCACATTGAGTTTATCCATTCATCTGTTGATGGACATTTGGGTTGCTTCCACCTCTTGGGTGTTGTGCATAGTGCTGCTATGACATGGGTGTGCAAATACCTCCTCAGCACCCTGCTTTCAATTCTTCTGGATATATACCCAGAAGTGGGATTGCTGGATCATATGGAAGCTCTGTTTTTAATTTTTTGAGGAACCTCCATACTGTTTTCTCTTGCACCATTTTACAGTCCCACTTATGGTGCACAAAGGTTCCAATTTCTTCACCTCTCTCTGACACTTGTTATTTTCTGCTTTTTTGAGACAAGCCATCCTAATGGGTGTCAGGTGATGTCTCATTGTGGTTTTGATTTGCATTCCTCTGATGATTAGTGATGTTTGGAACCTTTAGAGAACTGGCAGTTTCCGATTCCCCTGCTGGAGTGACCACATAGAGAGGCCTTGGTAGTATGTGGAGAGGGAGAATGGCCTGGCTGAGCCCACCTTCCCAGCCATTCCTGCAAGGGCCCCACCTATGCATGAAGCCTTCTTGGACCCTCCAT